TAGCTAGGTCGTTTTGAAGCAGTGTGTAGTCATCTGGCAAATTGTTGCACCGTCAAACTTTGATGTCAGTACAACGTATATTGTTTATTAATTACTCTCACTAGATTGTTACTAAAGAACAAAAATAGACGAGTACGATAGCACACGACATTCGACCTAGATGGGCTTTGACATCGAATCAATTCCTTTCGCTTCCAGACGCCCGTGCAAGAGGAAGTTGATTATCCACCTCGCGAGGAAATCACCCGTGTGGTATTCCTGAATCTTAGCTAGAGGGATGCAGGTGTCCAACCGCTCTGTTTCAAACATTGTTTTAGGTTGAAAAATCAAATCCTACACTAACATCCACAGTCTCGGACCAGCAGTCGCGCGCAAACTGTTGATTGGTAATAGATGATCAGTTCCGGCCGGAGCCATAAAGCTATTGAAAATATAGCCAAAGTTGCCTACGTGGGACGTAAATGCCTCTATCATGATAGTCTCCAAAGCTTCTGAAAGAACTGTAACAAGCGTAAGTGGTCGGTGGTTAGCCGGATCTGAGCACCCGCGTCCCTTGTAAATTGGGATTATCATCCCATATTTCTATGTTGTAGGAACACGACTCCCATCAATCTAGTTCTGGGAGAATCACGACAAATTTTTTAACAAAATCGCTATGGTGAATATCATCATATTCGGGAGAGCTGTGTGGGAGCATAAATACTAGCTATCTCATCACATCTTCTGCCGTAAAGCGAATATGAGTATTACTTGGTGGGGTCAAAATTCAAACCAGTGGTTCAGGAGTCTACGGAGCGCATGGAAAATTTGGCGCTTGTTGCTGATGAAGACGGTTGCTTGCTTCTTTGGTCCCCCGTGTTAGTCCACCCGCTGTTATAAGTAGACGAAATCCCCTTTTCCATTGTAAAGCTTGTACAATTGATTACACGCTGGCATATGATTTGATGCAGATCTTCCTGAGAAGACCTGTTAATATCTTGGTTGTCCCTGACAAAGCGGTTGTCTACAATGGTTAAGGTGGACAATGTAGGATTTTCGCGTGGTCAAACTCGGTTTGGTTCTGAGTGCATGATATGTTGTGTTTCGAATTAACATGCATCCGCATATACAACCTCGTAAAAACGAGATCATGTTGCTGTATTGGATAGCCTTATTTTCCCATGCGCTAGAAGCTCTGGTATTAAACTTGTTGAATAAACTTTCCCAGGCATCATCAGGTACATCCACGGCTAAGAAACCCCAGTGTTTAAGTTCCACCAGTCGAATTAAAGAGTCCTGATGTGTTATGGTCCTCGTTGTTTGCGTTTTCTTCTTGGGGCGTTCTGCATGGTAAGTGTAGATGAACAGCATGTTCACAAGAACACTGATCTCTAGAGGTGTGTCCATTAATACGCTTTTGGTCATAATTGTTCGTTACTGGATATTTGCTGGGCGAAGTGCTATGGCCAGTAGGTAAAGTACATTAGAGAAAAGGTTTTGCAAGACAGCCTTGAATGCATCTTCTGAGGCAGCTTGGGATCGCAAAGCATTAATTTTGAAATCGGCTGAGAGTACAAATTGAACATTTTCCTGTTTTTTACCTTCATCAACACAGTCCCGAATTTGGAAAAAAGCATCTTTTGTATATCAGACGGGGACAGTAAAAAGCAACCATGTAGCGAACATTATTTCCTCTCAGCCGTATGCGACAACAAATGGAATCGATTAATTCGGTTTCCGAATACTGCGTGGGTTCACACCTGAGTTCGCTGCAAAAAGGTAGAGCTCCCCCACCAAATTTACTGGCTCTGTCATTTAGAAAAATTAACACCATCAATAATTTGATCTCGATATCTGTTATCTCACAGTGCAATCATGATTGATTGTGGGGTCGGAGATCCTAAGATTATAAGACGTGCAATTCGCAATTCAGTTAATATAGAAGTAATATACTTGGTATATGTTCGCTAGTGCTTCTCGAAAACCAAAAGCATGTTAGTTATGGTGGATGATACAAAGGAATTTACGCCGAATGAGGAATGTTCGGTGGTAAAACTTCTTTCCAAACGGCTGATGATGCACAGTTTTGTATTAATTTCTGCAACGTTGATGGCTGATTTTCAACTCAAACTGCACACGTTGTTTCCTGCCTAACGGCGGTAAATCGGTGGCTACTGGTTTAGTTGAGTGGGTTATTTAATCACTGTGGTGAATATGGTGAATTCTGTGTGTTAGTGGTCAGTCAGTGAAATTGTCTGGTGGACGGATTTTGACATCTTCCATTGTCACCGACAATTCTGATTTCACACTATCTACGGGGCACGTTTGAAACCGTTGGTTATGACTGACAACTAGTTACCTTTTCTTCAGTCGATTACTTTGTAATGTAACGTTTTCATATCGGCCAAATACAACATCAAGGACAGCAAGACTTGCATGGATGTATATTCATTCTTCCACGTCTTGCGTTCAGTATTCGTAACAATTGGTCAAGATACACCATGAACTAACTGGTTTGGAAGCGACGACTTGGATGATAATGTTGTCATTATTGCAGTACTTGCTTGCCGCTCGTAAACAATGGAGCGGAGTTATCTGTAATACTTAGTGAAACAAACCATCCAGAGAGTGATCAGATTTCCTGGTGAACATGCAGCCGCTGTGTATAAGCACCGTGGACCATCTAGATGATCTGAAGATGAAACCAGGTTGCGAATGTGGGTAAAGAAATAGGTTTACACATGGCCTCCGCCTGACCGGAGCAGCATGCTTTCAGATTAGAATGAAATGAACGTGCATTCCATCGAGGAGCTTGTCTGATTGTGAAGGGATACTTGTACGCGCAAGTCTAATCGTGGGGTGTAGGATAACGCTTGAGACACTGAAGATGTCTAGTGTATCAGAAGATGGCGTTTGTTAACTCTACCGGAGCAAATTGTCTTTTGACTAGTAGGTTATACAAAGTATAGTGCTTACAGTCTCTTATTATGCAGTGCAAGCAATAAAATATACCGAAAACAGCGCATTTCAAACCACGCGGACGCATGTTTCACGGGTAGACAAAACCCAATGCCTTAACTGTGCTTGGGTTAGCTGCTCATGCACTAAGGTTTCGGACTACACGAAACTCGCCAGAGAAGGAAACGCTATCCTTGCTAACTGAATGCCATGCTAAGCTACACATATTTTCACAACTACCTCCAACTTAATATTTGTTGCTCAGTAAACTTATTTCTTCCTAGTCATAAAAATACTGCATACAGAATCTTGTCCAGTGTAACGTGTCTCAATTTGCTATCTTCTACGGAGAAGGAATTATTAAATTGACATTGAAGGTCAGCTTTTGTATGTTGCGATTTTTCGCATAGCGGAAAACCGCAACTTAATCATGCTGAAACTTAAAGTTATAATTAGGAAAATTAACATTGTAGACGATAGTTAGAAACAGTGCTTTCTGACATGGAGATATGCGCAATGATGTTAAAATTTGTTTGAAAGATCCTTGCATCCGGAGCGCTTATGTTTGCTAGTTGTGTTTTGTAAACGCCAAAAAGTTGGTAGGCCAGTGTGCTCCATTTTTTCTTGCTTACAACAAACTACAGGATGAGGTCGGTTCAGTCGGCGCAGATCCACGGCGGTTGGTCCCACAGTAGTTGTATTGGCAGGTAGGTTATTGTTGACCTACTGCTGCTACACTAGTACGAATTACACTTTCTGTCTTTTGGCTTCAATGCAGCAACCTAGGATGAGCTGCAACGGCTTGATCAGAGGACAACCGTCGTACACAGCCTGACACGTAAGAGGTTAAGTTCAAATGCAACGACAACAACAACAACGCAACATGTTGCTGCACCCAATCTTTAGCTGGCTGACACTGTAAGGAGTTGCCTAACATAGAAAAGGTTGACTGCAGCATCAATGTTCGACAATGTCTTATTCACATTAGGGGTTCAAGCTTGCTTGTCCTTCAAGCAAACGGCATCAGAAGTATGCCGGAACGCGGCCCAACTACCACTAGTCGCAGGCTAGCTAAATACATTGCGAGGGTAGCCCGGTGCCTACTCAGGCTAGAACGCGCGAGTTCGGATTACAAGGCAGGCTGGTGAGCCTTAGGGAAATGAGCTGACCATGCTGCCTCAAGTCGGATTCAATCGCCGTTCCTCAAATGTTTGGTTTAATTCCTAGCGACGTCGCTCCCATACAACTTCTGAAAATTAGGTTGGATAACGCACCAGATGGTTGTATCCTTTGGTTTGGTGGTACGAATTTAACAAGTGAATAATATTGGACTCGGGCAATTCAGTCTGCGAAGACGACTACCTGAGGGACTCAAAGCAGATGGTCAGCTGAGTTTCAATTGATCTAATTACTAACTTCACTTGCGATGTGTTGTTAGCATCTCTCTCCTCCAACAGAGATACGTATCCCGTGTTGGCAGCGCAAATCACAAGGTAAACGAAGAACCATTAGCAAACAATTCACCTTCACGCAGATGAACTAATGCAAACAACAGTGGTAGCACAAGCTGTGTCTATCGACTTCACAACACGGATAAATAGTAATGCACAGTGTTGTAACCTAGTTTAGATTATCTGTTTCAGTCGGCCATTAAAGTAGGGTTCTCATTGCGGAGAAAGTACATCAACAAAATGACCTCACGAGGTTGTTGATGGATACGAGTACCAGTCCGCAACTTCAGGGTATACGGAAAAGTCAAGCAGTTCTAGAGTCTCTGGCACAATACTGGCATTAGCATTTACATAATTGCCGTTACCTAAGTAGACGAATTGGAGTTGTTGTTTGTTGACCCAAGGATCACTGGTTGAAATTGAGTTGGACCCCCGGAGAAGACACAGTCAGGAGGATGGCAATGGTTTTAGCATTGCGTTTTTAGTTCAAGCACGCCAGCACTCTCTATACCCTTTATGAAGTGGGAAGATAACAGCTTAAGGAAAAAATAATTTAATACATCTGAAGCAAAATATGTACATCCAATTTTGACTGTCTTTCATAAGCATTCTTCACAATTTCTCCAAAAAGCTGTCGTAGCCACTGTCTTTCAATATGGTTCCATCGGATGCCTTATGAAAGAAGCGAAATGAATAAGTAATTAGTGAAATCAGATAGAATGCAAATTTACTGATAACTAAGAAGACAAAGCCGTTGAGCCCTAGATAAGTATCTAAATACCGAAGTCTAATTCCTTACAATACATATTGTCTTGGAGTCCCGCCTACAGAGCCTTGTCCGACAAGATCTGCCGATTTGCAACACTCTCTGCTTTTCCTACGATGTTTCCAGTGCAGGAAATGGGACTGAAAACTGCTGCAAACCACAAAACTTTATCAGGTGCTCCACCCTTTGCTTTGGATAAATGAAGGTTGCACTGTGATATGCAACTGCATTGCAGCTACCTTCGCGGATACAGTCCCAACCGAGTCTAGCAAGTCATTGCCGTAGTAGAATGGTTAAACTCACCTTTGGATACACTGCGTGCACTGCCTCAACTGTTGATTGTTCTACTGCATCCTGGCGCACAATGTCCATCAGATGTCGAATGTGATTGATCGCATACCGCAGTGTGCGAATCTTGGTCAATTTGGTGTCCTTTGGGATCTCCGGCAAGCAGGATCTGAGTCGGCAGAATGCAACATTTAATGATCGCGTTCGGTTTTTGTCCTGTTCGCGTTGATGTACTTTCCTTAGACTGTGTTGTGACCTCGTGGAAGCACTTGGTTGCATCTAACCACATGTACCCAAAAGAAGAAAATGTAAACGAAATCAGGTGAATCGGACCATCATGCTAAACTGTGATAAGAGATATATAGAGTATGGTGATGCTCTATATCTACCATGGTCTGGCAAAAATTTCAATCAGCAGTCTTGAGCCAGTTGGGATGAACATGATCAATATATGGAGAAGGTGTTAACGTTGTAATCCTTTTTTCTGGCCAGAGAATTGAAGAATGGTAGCTCAGGTTGTTCAGATGGCAATTGAACTGTTCGTTGAGCTTGGCGCGTCTATGCTACTCTACGCTACTGCACGCCACTCAACTACGCACTAATGATGTCACATCGATTGGTGACGAAAAGTTTGCAATAAAATTGTCAAGCTCAACGAACAGTTCAACCGCCGTTGTCTGTCTCTACGTTTTGGAATATTACCTTGAGTATGGTTGGCGGTATCCGGTTCCGGATTTGTCTGTCGCTGCGGCCTCCATAGACAGCCACAGGATGCCTGCGCCTAATAAGGGAAGATGGGTGGTTTTTGCTTCACCAGACACAGCTCCATCCACGCACCCCATATCCAGTGTAAACGCGAAGGAATCGGATCTGGAGGCATATAGATGGGAGCCACATTTCATCAACGGAGCCGACCCACACTCCTTCATCATGCACAGCGGCAGCATTCCTGTCCATCTATCTGGGGGATCATGCGCGCCAGAGGTACACAAGCCGGTGGCTTGGCCGTAGTCAGCTCCGCACTGGATGGAATCACTTGTTGAGCCTAGCACTGTCACTAGGACCGTGAAACCCGTACCTACATCAACATTTCACAGTCCCATAGATCTAGCAATCAAGGTGCACCGTAATAGACATGCAGTCATCTTGTCAACATTCACATCAAGCGCAAGGGGATATCAATAAACTAACATAGAATTTGAAAGTAAATAAACACGCAAAACTGACACTGAATATGCAGCAGAATAACAGAGCAGAGCAAGTGAAATAAAGTGGAATAATTTCTATCCCAATTAGGAAAGGCCAGTTTAAGTGGAAGTTGGTGTAGCCCAACTGTGGTTAAGCCGCACGATCTATGCGGCATCAAGCTCAGCATGAGACATCAGTGTACAGTCGTACTAATGAGCATTCACTTATTTTTTGTGATGAGCTCCTAAGAAAGGTAACGCAGATGTCGCACACAATGAAATGCAAGTTGGAGGACCAGTGCAATTTCGTTGGCGTATTGGCACAATTAATGTTTGCTATCAAAGCATTGAGAAGCTCGTTTCTCAGTACTCCTGTTATGCGTTGTTGCTCCTTGTGAATTGAAGATGGAACGAATAATGGCAACTGCAGCTGTGTTCATCCAACATTGCGTGTCGATTGCAACTACTTCCTCGCCTGTTTAAGTGACATCACCAGTGTGTATGGATTAGCGGTTTTGTAGCAGAAGCTGACAGAAGGCAAAGCAAAACATGTGGCTTCCATCAGTCGGGCATTTCTTATGAATTTGAACCGAAATATGGGCGGTATATATAAGCGTCAGTTTAACCACTAATGTATGTTAGGTAGACAGGAATATTTCATTTCTGCACACGCTGTTTTTGTAATAGTTTGTGCGATGCAGTAATAACCAGGAAACAATACTCACTTCACTGAATGGTCGGTGGTGCATTTCTTGCTGCGAAATATTCCAAGTAACGGCGAAATCGTTCAGCTGTTCGTATTTCACAAAGTCAGTATTCGTTCGGTTGCTTGGATCGTCTCTGGTTTCTGGTTTGGTTGATATGTGTGTCGTGCAATAATCACCCTCCACTGTATTGTTCATGACACGGAAGTCCATTTCGCAGGAGCATACTGCAGACAGATGAGGAATTTCTTGTCTCGTCGTATTTGCATCTTGTGGAGGAATGGGGTGGTGTGTACTCCTCTTCTCGTATATAAACTCATAGCATTCATTTTCCAAGTTGGAATTCCCGGTCCTAAGAGATCGGCCTCTGTCGACAGTGGATGCATCTTCTGGCAATACAAAACACTGTTCAGCACATGGTAAAGTCATAGGTGTGTCAAAATTAGGGAACCAAGACACTGGTCCGGGCGAATAGCATTCAGGATTAGCCAATGAGTTGCGCACTTGAGTGGACCACAACTGATGAGATGCCATGGGAAAAGTGCTTACACGGCGTGACTGTCTGGAATGAACGTGGTTTAAATAGGGTTCTGCACGGTGCATACCAGACGGACTACGGTTGATTTGGCACAAATTTACACGCACACAGTCATAGAACAGCCCTGATGGATATCTGCAACGTTTGTGCTATGACACGCCCGATCGCTCTGACCGTGGACAGAACCGCGTTTCACGACGCACTTCTTGGATTGAGTGTCCATTGGTCAGTGCGAGGTGAATTCGGGAAGCGACGATTGCAGGGGGTCAGAACAGTAATTCCAAAGTGGTGAACAATCCTCATGTGGACATTGTCAATGTGGGGTTTCCTCATCCTACACGCAGCTTCCGATTGTGGACGGATGATAACCGGCGACATTGCACTCGTAACTATTATGATGTGACACCGCACCCCTGTGTCACCCCACCCTTACTTTGTCACCTTCCAAAGAGTTAAGCACATGACAACCGCAAGGCTATTGTCATCGAACTCCAATCACTGATGAGAAGACAGACCAGCGGGAAGTAGAAATCGTTGAATTGCCTCTTTGAATTAGACGACATTTTAACTTTGCTGACAGCCGGAGATGTTCCAACCGGGTAATCTATGACATGAATTGCGTTTGGAATCCTGATGGAAGGTTGTTTATCCACACTGTGCTAGCATCTATGGTTAGCCACGTAAGCAGCTGTCGAACTGGAAGAGGCTCGTTCACCAGAGTGGAATTTGAGTAGCCTAGTCTCTTGAAGTCCCAACAGTGGCATGATGAATTTGCTATTCCAAAACATTTCAGTCATAAGCTGATTCTGAAAGAACTTAACTACTTCGTACTATACATGACTTGACACAATCAGATATAATCGGGTTTGTGTCAATCCACGTTAGAATCCAGATTTACAAAGCAAATAGGATTATAATATTGAGGAGTGATCTGCAGAGGAAGGGATTGTATGCATTCTTCTATAACGAGTTAATCAACGTTGTCCTCTGATTTCTCTCAGGTTCCTGATTTCAAAGTTGTCTTGAGCCTTAGTGCAAACATTTGCAATTACAGCCACCGTTGGGATGACTGTTCCGAGAATATTGATATTAATTTGTGCGCCGACAGTTCCGTCCAACTTAGATGCGGTCCACATTGAGAGGTTTGTGCATAACGACTCATTGTTTATATCCGTCTACACGCTCAGGCGCTGGATGCATTGTATTAAACGAAAATAGCATCGAACGGTCAGCCACTAGCTGCTTGGTGGTTGAAAGTGCTATGAATATTCGTTACATCCACTTGGATCTCATTGGATTCGGAATTGCATGATGCTAAGCAAAAGCAGCATACGTGATGACAGAATCTTCCTCTCATGCTTAACCGCTGATCATAATGTTAGCTATATCTAGACATATCGGTCAGTGTTATTGGTACTGAAGAGACAATAAGACATGCTTGCATCTACCAATGTCCGGCTTCTTTTCGAGCTTTTCATAATTTCATAATTAAAAGTCTAATATACTCAACAGTTATGCTGTCGTCAATGTAAACACGGGAGGAATTTAACTGAACTATTTGCAAACCAGCATGTTTCAAGTGTGCCTGAGTGCAGTTTGCTAATGAACGAGGATAATCAACCGATTTAGGGAAGTATTCACTTATCAAACCACAGATGTCTTTAGTAACTTCCCTAAGCGAAACGCTTAGGGCCTGATCTGCTCCCAGCTTCATGGAACACAATGGAATAGTGTCACAAACGATTTACATAGAGCGCAATTGATAAGATGAATGAGGATGCAACTCACATCATTTAAACTTCACCCATTTACTGAGCACTGCAGTAGAAAGAACTATAAGGGACTTTGTTACCTCGAAAACCGAGCTAGAACTTGTCATGGATACATCCGAATTCATGCACATACTGAATAAGACGAAGGAACTGGAGATCATAAATGTGTTGCATCCTAAATCAAACAATAACTTTTTGCTATTAAATTGCTTGTGTTACGGAAGCATTGATCCCAAGCACAGTCCGATATTTGAAGCGAGGAAAGGCTCATGGCCCTGACATCTTACCCCAGGCTCTACTCAAAGATTACGGGAATACCCTTGTGAGCGAAATCCCATCATTGTTCTCAAAGGTTTGGAGGGATGAGTAGGTTCCAATTTCATGGGACGAATTGGTCATCGTCCCGATTCCCGGAAATTCTCTCGCGAAGATTATATCAATTGTCGCGGCATTTCATCGATTTTTGTGATCAAGCTGTTTATGTCCTTCCTACTTTACAGGCTTTTAGCGAATAGAGGGGCTTTTATCGAGAGAAACAGGCCAGTTTTCGTCCATGCCGAAGTTACATTGACCAATTAATCACACTCCGCCAACTTCTTGTACTCTTTCACCTATACGAACGGCCAACAAGTTTAACATTCCTGGATACCAGAGTAACATTTGAATCAGTAGCTAGATCAGCGTTGTGATACTGCCCACAAAAGAACGGTGTGCCCGACAATGTTGTAGCCGTTCTGAAGGAAATTTGAAGCCATATGTTGTGTACTGCCGGCTTTCCCCTTCGTTTGCCGTCGCCATCGCCGTTTGGAAAAGTTGCCCTATTTCACCATCCCTTTTCAAATTTGCCACCAAACATGTCGTCCAATGAAGTTTGGATCGTGCAGAAGCTGCGATATAGAGCTTCTTCTTAATGACAGAGTCGCAGCTTTGCAGTACGCCGATTATTTTGCCTTGCTTGGAGGCGCATCTCAAGCCGTTCAGAGTGCTTTCGACTGCGCAGCGATGGAGGCGTCAAAGTACCGTCTATATTTCACTCTGACTAAATGTAAAACACTACCACAGCATTGACATGAAACCGTACCCGCCTTCATCATTGCTTGTGATGTTCTGGAACAAGTCCCTGGCTTCACTTTTATACGGAACTGCATCAAGTCTGGCGAGGATGTTAGGGACTCGATCCCGCAACCTATCACAAAGACCCGCCTGAAGATAACAAAAATGAGGCTTTTGTGGCAACGTCACGATAACAGTCTATAGCCCAAGGACAGGGTTCGCTATGCCTCCATCAGTGCGGTGCTCTTTTATGGCTGTGAAAACGGGCCTATTTGCTCGAAAGGCATGAAAGGATTGTCAAATGTTAAAATCGTTGTCCGCACAGGATTATTCATATGTGGTGGTAATATCACGTAAGCAACACAGAAGTCCGAGACCAAGTGCTTGGAGATAACCAGCCCATCCTTCCAAACGCTATTCTCTGATACAGCGTTCACGGGCTCAAGCACGTATTGCACATGCCAGCCTATCGCGTCACTCCCTCGAGCGTTATATGCGCTTCCCGGGAGCGACAGGAATAATGGCCTCGGTGGAAAATAATGACGCGGAGAAGGAGCATGAGGAAACTTGCCTCAAGCACTTTATGGTGAGGACCGCGCGATTCTGACTCCCGGTGGTTAGAAGCGTTGAATGTTAAGGCCAGCAAGGGACAGCAGTGTCGCCAGTGTTGTTCTGTCGCATCTCTCATCATTTATTCTTTAATGGAACAGCAAAACTCCAACTCAAACAAAAATTAAGTAGCGGGTATCAACCTAAAAATCTTCGTTTCCCTCCGCAATCTTTTTTCACTTTTCTCTCGCGTTTTCCGCCATGTTTCTGACGGTGAATTTCCTGTAACCA